TGTAATTTTCTTATGATGGGAGAAAAGTTGATAAAGAGTGTTGAAGTGGGTAAAAGTAATGTATTGACTATTGAACATTTAATGGGTTTTTATACTTCTACACAACTACTTCAAATCAATCTTACACAGTACAGTACATAAACCACAGCTTTTACAAGAATCTGTACAAATCTTCTTTTTATTTACAGTTTACAATTTACAATTTACAGTTTAAAGTTTACAGTTTACAGTTTACATTTTACAGTTTACAGTTTACAGTTTACATTTTACAGTTTACAGTTTACAGTTTACAGTTTACAGTTTACAGTTTACATTTTACAGTTTACAGTTTACAGTTTACAGTTTACAGTTTACAGTTTGTAGTTTACAGTTTGCAGTTTACAGTTTACAGTTTACAGTTTTACAGTTTACAGTTTACAGTTTACAGTTTACAGTTTACAGTTTACAGTTTACAGTTTACAGTTTACAGTTTACAGTTTGTAGTTTACAGTTTACAGTTTTCTGTCCGATGTAATATTAAATAAACTCTATTTCATATTTATATTTCAAACTCTGATATCAAAACAAATACATACAAATATTTTTAACATTGCTTCTTTTAGAGAGAAATTATTAGTTTTGAATTTGGAAGTTGAAGATTTTGTAAAAATTAAATTGTTTTAGAAAGCATTGTCTCGATCATGTTTTAACAAACAGAAAAGTTTGAATTATATTAGAATAAGAAAGCTTTTATGTAGTATGGATGGAAAATATTTAAGTTTAAAGTTTTAAATCGATGATTCATCTCAAGCATTTCAACTGCAGACGTTCAGAAAAGATTTAGAATAAATTTAGTTGAAAAAAAGAAATTTTCTCTTTTTTCAAAATAAATATGATTCAAAGCTGGCTGATACCTTTATATAAATTAACAGTTTGTACTTTATCAATAGACTACATTGGTCTAGATTGGTAATCATTGGTCTTTATTGGTCTGCATATTGGTCTATATTGATAATAATTGGTCTCCATTGGTCTAGATTGGTAATCACTGGTCTAGATTGGTCTGCATATTGGTCTATATTGATAATAATTGGTCTCCATTGGTCTTTTTTGGCGACCATGGTATCTTCTGGTATCTAATTAGTCTCCATTGGTCTGTATCATGGATTCCATTTGTCTATATATTGATCTTTATTGGATTGGTCTTCATTGGTCTCAATTAGTCTCAATTGATCTATATTGTTCTCTATTGGTCTCCCCTGATCTCAATTTGTCTCAATTGATCCTATTGGTCTACATAGATCTCTATTGTTCTCTGTTGGTCTCCATTCGTCTCAACTGATCTCTATTGTTCTCTATTGGTCTCCATTGGTCTCCAATTTGTCTCAATTGATCATATTCGTCTCCATTGGTCTCAATTGATCTATTTTGTTCTCTTTTTGTCTCCATTGGTCTCCATTGGTCTCTATTGATATCTATTGTTCTCTATTGGTCTTCATTGGTCTGCATTGGCCTCTATTGGTCTTCATTGGTCTCCATTGACCTCAAATGGTCTGCATTGGTCTTCATTGGTCTCCATTGACCTCCAATAGACAAAACATAAAACTACCAAAGATGATCTGAAGCTGATATGTTTGGTCTAAGGTTGAATGTCTTCAAGCATAATGATTGAATTGTTTATGGATGGATTAACTCTACCAGACTATACGTTATATGCAGAAATATAAACATTTCTATAAAAAACACAAGAATTGATTTGCAGAAATATAAACATTTCTATAAAATACACAAGAATTGATAATCAATTTTATTGTCTTGTGCTTTCTTTTTTTAAAAAAAGATAGAGCATTTTATCTGCATGTGGGGTTAGTGTACACATGCTTTAAGATGTTATAGTAAAGAACAATAGTAAAGGGAATATAATAAAAATGCCCCATCATCTCCGCCCACCTTCACCCCTCACCCTTCACCTCCTTTTAAGCCCCTCCTTGCAAA